ATTTTTTCTACCTGGATTACTGAGATGCATCAGGATATTATTTATATTTCTTTTTTTTTTTTTACAACATCCTAAATTTGCAGTTTTTCACAATTAGCAGGTGTTTTAAGAATGCAATCCCACCACCACCACCCTTTTTTTTCAGGTGTCTACTGTTTAAGTATAGGCTGATGCAACCAAACATGACATGCTGATAAACCAGACCCTGGCTGAACAACAAAGGAGGAAGAGATGTTTGTCACCTCAATTTTATCTGATGCATAAACCACTAAAAGTTACATCAAATTTGAGACGTTTTTGCTTAGCAAAACTTTTGATTTTTGCTGCCCAATAAGACAGACGTCCAAAGGGGTAATCTCAAACATTTATGTTTAAACTGTTATTTAAACCTTTACATTGGTGTTAGTTTTGCTCTGCATGGCTATTTTGACAGAAATAATTTATTCTTCATATGATTCACAGCAGTGGTTCAGTTGGTAGAGGTGCTGCCTCTCAGGAAGAAGGTTGCTGGATCGAATCCTGGCCAGGGACCTTTCTGGGTAGAGTTTGCATGTTCTCTCTTTGCACCCATGGGTTTTCTCCAGTCTTGTTTCCTCCCACAGACCAAAAACATGAATGTTAGGCCAATTTGTGACTAAATTGTGCTTATGTGTGACTGATAGTGAATGGTTGTTTGTCTCTATGTGTCCATTTGATGGACCCCACACCTCCCACAGTGACTGCTGGATATGGGSACCAGTGACGCTGAAAAGAAGCTTGGATGGATGACTAAGATTCCCAGCTGAAAGTGCAGCTACAGCTAGATGCTGCTGTCACCATTTGAACTCACAAATAGCTAAAGAACTCCACGCAAGTAATCATGTAAATGACAAACACTTTAAGTGAACCACCTGCAAATCAGAAATATTTGAATATTTCTCAGTGGCCCACCTTCTCCCAGCTGAATGTAGACACGGTTGCCACACCTCGTGTGCATCAGGGAGGTCAGGTTGTTGTGGTGCCTGAGGGCCCAGCGGTGCAGAGCACGAGGGCGTGAAGGTAACAAACGAACTGTCCGGACGTGTAGTCGTAAAGCACGCGACTGGACGCTGGAGTGTGCCGACACCTACACGATAACTGAGTTCAAGCTAGCTCTTGTTTCAAAGATAATCTGTTTAGATTGGAAGGACGTCAGTAATCCTGACCTGAATGAACACTGGGAGGTTTGAGGGCAGCTGCTCAGCCTCCAGTAACCAGGAGACTTGGTGCTTTGAGCTGAGCACCAGGTGGACGGTCCTGAGAGGAGACAGGGATGAAAACTTCAGCAAAACTGTCACCTGTGGACAGGAGACAAAATATATACGTATATCAGTTAGCTACATAGTCATTTAAACTTTAAGTGAAACAATAACTTTGTTGTTGCACACTTTCTTTTGTGTGTTATGTTTATGAATTTAACATTTTTTGATAGTTTTTTTGTTGATTGAGCCTTTTAGTCTTTTTTCCTCAACAAATGTCATTTTCCTAACATGTATGTGATAATAAACTCAGAAACTTTGGCAACCTACAAAACACAATGGCTGATTGGAGACCAAATCAGAACTAATTGCAACTAAACTGAGACATTGTTAAGATATGAACATAACTAGATACCGCATAKCGGTAACATAATGACCCCCGCACGCACAAATGCACCAGAACTCAGAAGTCTTTATTCCTAACAAATATGCTACTAGGTGCATCCCAAAATTGTAGTGGTTTAGGTGGGGGTCTTTTTTTTTAATTTGCGGGGGGGGGGTATTGTTTGACCTGATGGATAGCCCCTCATCAGAGCTAAACAACCAAAGAAATTCTGAAGGCCCTATATTTAATAGCTTTTGAGCAATAACCATTTTTGTATGTCCAGAGACCACTTTTTCCAATAAATTGGCGTCCGGGGGCGGACGGATACCGATTGTTGGGCCTGATGGATAGAGCTTCATCAGAGCTAAACAACAAAAGAAATCTGAAGCTTCTATGTTGAAGAGTTTCTGAGTTATAAGCATTTTTGCATGTCCATACACCCCCACTTTGAAATGAGCCCCCTCCTCAAATATGGGGTCTATCATAAAACCGTTGGCTGGCGCAGTGTAGGTCAGACTCATCTGCGGTCCTGCCAAATTTGATGTTGATTGGGGCAGCCGTTTTTGTGCTACAGTTGACCAAAAATCTCTGGGGAAAAAATGAATAAATAAATAAACAGTATGAAAACAGTGACTCCCGCTTACGCTTCGCATGTGGGGGTCATAATAAATCTTGATGCCACTTGCAGGAAAGTTGAAATTTATTAGCAGTTTGTCACAAATGTCTCCTAAAAACAATTTAGCAGAATTCTATAAGTCAGCTGTCAAACAAGCTTTAATCTCCATCATTGGTTAGAAGCTTGCAGTTTGGATTTGAATGTACAGTATTTAATTTAATTTTGAACAAGGCCTTTTTTAGTTAAATGCCAGCTGTTGTCATGGTTTCACATCGTCACATTAATAGGAGTGAACAAAAACGATCGTATTGAAAAGTCTGCCTGATGTCTAACAAATAAAGTGGTGAAGTAAGGATGGATGAGTGCTGATGTGCACCCAGCAGTTTTTACAGCGAGCTACAGATGACCCTGTCTTCATCTGTACCTTGCTCCTCGAGCTGTTTGTGGCTCTCTCCAGTGCAACGACGTGGGTCTCCTTCTTCCCCTGTTCTCTTGCAGCACAGCCCCGGACTGTCTGAGACTTCTCCAGCAGAACCTGGACCGGGTGCTGGGATCCGACCGGACCGGTCAGTGAACTTGCTGGAGTTTGAGTTGAGGAGGAGGAAAAAATTTAACGTCTGAACTGTGAGACATAAATGATGGATTTTATCATCATATTTGATAGAATAATAAACAACATGAGTGAAAACCTGCTGAATCATCAGGTTGAATGTTTTTTTTTTCTGGTTTAATTTGTGCCAGAAAGGATTAGCAGATTAGATTAGCAGAGAGACACTGTCAGAGTGACTCCAAATAAAAGTATTCAAACAAAAGAAATCACCTTTAACCCCTAAGGCAGCAGGTGTGTCTGTACACAAACTATCTCACCTGTCAGCTTCTCCTGAAGCATAAAGAGGCAGAAAACACTAAATCCAACCGTCAGTGAAGGCATCGTGAAAAAGGTCTGAGGACACAAATCACTAATAATCTCCTAGAAAAACAAAAGAGTGATGTCACTCAGGTCAATGTTTATCTCATAAATGATAACTTCAGTTAAATATTACATAATTAAATCACAACGTGTGGAAATTTGTCTTAAAAAGGCACAAATTTTGTCATCTCCTAAACCACTGAATGAATTTTAATGAAACTTGCAGGAAGTAATCTTTAAATGTATACGTCCACAAGTGATTAACATTTGGAGTTAACCCAATTCAAGATGACCGCCTCAGCCAGCTGACCTCAGAAACACAAACATGGCTGACCTCGCAGATTTTACACAGATTGACCTAAACTTGGTGTGGAAATTGCTGAGACTGATCTCCATGTTTTGATGATAGTTTAGGATCAAATTAAAAAGGAAAATACATGAATTTCCTGATTTAAAATATATTGTTACACGGTAAATGTCTCAAAGAACTTATAGGAGTAAATTGAATAAAAAATAATGTCAAAATAATGCCCTCTACAAACATATTTTCATAATTTAGATTAAAAAAGTCTTTATTTAAAAAGACAAATATCAGGGCTAGAAGCCTTTCAAAAAACATTCAACAAACAAAGAAGTACCACAACAAACCCTTAAAAAGAACAATTAAGTTTTGCGCCCAAAATGTTTTCATTGGACTCAGAAACTTTTTACAGTTAGAACAATTTCAATCAGAACAGAAATAAATAAATAAACACCTAATTGCATTTCCTACAAAAAATGCTTCTTGCTGAAGTTTAATGCAAGTTCAGTTGTAATGTGAAAGAAGCATAAAAAGCTCAAACTAGCTGAAAGAAGCACAAAAAAGCAGAAATTAGCAGAAGGATAGCAGAAAGGAAAAGAAAAAAATTGTATAGGTCTTCTGGACGGGTTCTTCTCTAATGAAACGTTTCGTCTCTCCTCCAAGAGACTTCTTCAGTCTGAGAGCACAGTTCACATCACAGTTTATCTTCAGGTATCTTGTAGCAAAAACAGGGCAAACTGCTCAATATTTGGTGGATAGTCAGATTGTTGTGTTT